TCAACTTATGGACTGAACTAAATGGGACCTACTTCTGATAGTGAGTCCCATTGTTAAGAAGTGGCATCAAGACAGTCCTACATAATAAAGTGTCTTACCTGCAGACAAGCTTTTTTAAATCAGATAGTTCCTCAGATTCTATTATAATGCTCAGATCAGTAACAACAGCTGAAACATTTTTGGTACTCTGAAAAAGATAAAGTATGTTATTATTAGATGAGAACATGTAGAAAATATTCATGTTTATATGCAAAATACTTGGAATAAAAAACTTCCATAATAAAAATGTAGAACATTAACAGAGATTGAAAATGAGGGCAAAGATTTGGATGACCCCAACATAATTGTTCAATTGGAAAAGTATAATGCAACAGTGTGTTACTTTCCATTATAGTGGAACATTTATAGGACAAACCTCCAATAACAGAAATGTGGGGTCAGAACAGTGACTCCCAGTTCCCTGTAGTAAGCACAAAGGATTCATTATGCTTTGACAGCTTGTGTTGTGTGTGGCAACTAGTACAGCCATTCAAGCAGTTTTGGATACCAGAAGCACAGCCTAGTACTCTAAAAAGCAATAAGAAATAAATCTACTTTTTCACATGGCCCTAATGAGGGGGAAAGGACAAGAAGCTTCAGCAGAGAGAACAGAAAAGGCCCTTTCTACCAGTCCTGCTGAAAGGCCACTTGCTTCCTTCCCATTCCATTTTCCTTTTCTACCATGCCTTTTAAGATAGAATGCCTGGAGGCAGGGGATTGACTTGTTTTTGTTGATTATCTGTAAGCCACTCCAGATGCATTTTTGGCTAAGAAGTGAGATAAAAATGCTTTAATACAAACAAATAAATATAAAGGGGAAAAAACACTCCCAGGGAACAAAATATTAAACGACAGGTGAATCCCAAACATGAAGGAGCACCATATTGTAAATATGCATAGAGTCCATACATCTTAACTCCCTCACAACAGCTCTGATAAGCACTGGAACCCTGCATGAGTAACAACTACTCCCAGTTCACTTTAACATTAGGAGAACTTCATGGACACCTGCTGATTTGCTATTTTGTGCTTCTACAGCTGCAGATGTTGCACTTGCTCTGTGCTAAATTACTCCTGAAAAATCTAGCAGTGGTTAGGGTTTCTCTTGGGATGCAGGGAGGAGACAGGAAAAGAAAGTAGTTAGTTCTGTCCTCTGGGGTAGTAACTCCATCAACCCATACTTTGCAAAAGACTATGAATAGCTATTTTTCTCCTTTATCTAGAAGTAAAAATGCAACAATAGTTTATTCTCTAAGTAGAAATGAATGTTATTGCCAAGGTAAACTGCTTAAGTTTGTATGCTCTAAACAGCTAGACTTTTATCAGATGAAGACACAGTATCTTACAGTGCAATACTATGCACGTTTAGACAAAAAAGGATCCCACAACAGTTGGATAGAGCATGCTGGGAGTAGTAAAACTTTTTCTCTGTTTTAATTTGCATAGGATCATGCCCTTAGTCTACTTTATCTACATAAACTATTATATTCATGTGCCACCTTGTGGTTGAAAGGGAGATATACAAAACCTCAGTTTTTGAGGAAGAAGAATTTTGTTACAGTCTGAAACATGACTACAAGTGTTCCCTGTGTTTTTTTCTTGTTTGGGCTAAGCAATATTGGCAAATTTATATGTTAAAGAACTTCTAACTTCTAGCAAGAGAATTCTGTGATGCTTAAGTGTTCAACCCCAAGGCACATTAATTAAAATGAAAAAACAACTGCACATCCTCAGCAACTGGTGTATGCAGCACACCACCAATGCTAAAGGAGGTAGCACATAGCTAGCAAGGCTAGTAGCCACTGAGCACCACCTCCCTCACGAATCTGTCCAATCCTCTTTCAGAGCCATCCAGATTGGCAGCCATCACGTCTCACAGCAGCAAATTCCATAATTTAACTATACACTGTGTGAAGAAGTATTTCCTTTTATCAGCTCTGAACTTCCCACCAATCAGCTTCACGGGATGATCCTGGGTTCAAGCGTTATGGACAAGGAAGAAAAATGTCTCGCTGTATAAAAAGTATAATTTTAAACATGTCTCTCATGTCTTTATTTTCCTTTTTTTCTAAGCGAAACAGACTTAGTTGTAATTGCTCCTCACGGGGGAGCTGCTCCAGCCTCCTGATCACTTTTGCTGCCCTTCTCTTTACTTTTTCCAGTTCAATAATGTTCTTGTTCAGGTAAGACAACAAGAACTGAACACAATATTCCAAGTACAGTTGTACCAAAGGGAAGTAAAATTTTGGCAGTTCTGTTTCCTATTCTATTCCTAATTAGGTGTTGCATGGAATATGCCTTTTTCACAGCAGCTGTGCACTGGGATGACATTTCCATTGACCTGTCCACCACTACCCCAAGATTTCTTTCTGGCTCAGTCACTGCCACCCCAGATCCCATCTGCATGTACTTTAAGCTGAGATTTTTCACCCCAACATGCATTACGTTATCCTTGCTAATACTGGACTACATTTGCTATTGTGATGTGCATTCTCCCACTTGGAAAGATCCCTTGGGAGCTCCTCTATATCCCTTACGGTTTTAACCGCCCTAAAAAGGGTAATGTCATCAGCAAACTTGGCCACTTCACAGCTTACTCCTAATCATTTATGAATAGGTTGAAAAGCATTGGTCCTAATACAGAACTCTGTGGTGAGACTACATTGGTGACATCTCTCCACTGGGAGAAACTGCCATTTATTCCCACCCTATATCTTCTGTAAGGGTTGCAGGTGGCGCAGTGGTTTAAATTGCTGTGCTGCTGGGCTGGTTGATAGAAAGATCGCCGGTTCAAATCTGCACAACGGGGTGAGCTCCTGTTGCTCCGTGCCAGCTCCTGCCAACCTTGCAGTTTGAAAGCATGCAAGTGCAAGTAGATAAAAAGGTACCACTTCGGTGGGCAGGTAACAGCGTTCCGTGCACCTTGGTGTTTAGTCATGCCGGCTACATGACCACGGAGACTGTCTGGGACAAACGCTGGCTCCCTCGGCTAGGAAACGGAGATGAGCACCGCCCCCTAGAGTCAGGCATGACTGGACTTAATGTCAAGGGGAAACCTTTACCTTTTTATATCTTCTGTACTTTAACCAGTTAGTAATCCCTAACAGGACACTCCACCCATTGATTCTATGCCTACTTAGTCTGGTCAGGATCCATTACTGAGGAACTTTGTCAAAAGCCTTTCAGAAGTCCAAGTAAACCATGTCTATTGGACTGCCCTGTCTACACGCTTACTGACATACTCAAAAAACTCTAATAGATTAGTGAGACAAGACTTCCCCTTGTAAAGTCATGTGATTCTTTTTCGTTACGGCTTGTCCCTTTATGAGTTTATTGATTCTATATTTAATAATATTTTGAACAATTTATCAGTGCAGGTATTAAGCTAACTGGCCTGTAATTTCCAGAATCCCACTTGGATCCCTTTTTTAAAAAGTGGTATTACATTTGGTACAAGGGCCAATTTTAGGGATATGTTAAATATTTTGATAAGACAGCCAGCAATTTCATGTTTGAGTTCTTCACCAGGTGACTTGTTGACAGATTATCACTAAGGCTGAGAACTTCTTTGGTCACTACTCTCTGCTTTAATTCCTCAGATTTCTTTCCAGAATACATAAACTCAGGCACAGGTATCTGCTCTTCATCCTCTGCTGTGAACACTGATGAAAAGAACTGATTCAGCTTCTCTATAACCTCCTCCCCACACATCCTTCAACCATGCCAGATTGGCAACTTAGCACAATATTTATGGGAAAATGAATTATGGGTGTAATGTGATCTAACTGCACTATTTAATTTTCATAGAAAAAGTGTTTGATGTCTGTTTGATTTAAAATTATGCCAGCAGACAGTAGTTTCACACACTCACAAGGTCCCAGCAATAGTCTGGCAAGAATATCATCCCTGAATGATCTACAATTGGATAGCTAATAACATTGTAAAAGTTCTTAATATGAAAAAGTACTAACAAATGTCAGATTGGAATATGATAGGAGTCTTAGTTTTCCTTATACTGCATTAAACCACTTATCCATTATTTTTTTCAAAGGAGACAGGAGCAAAGTTATCACTGATTCTGTTCAATATATTAATGGAATCTAGATCTAGCCATGAGACCCAGCACTCCCTTCTCCATGGAATCTCTCCTCTTACTGGAGTGCAATTCCCCTTTGCAAGATTAACCACAATTCAGGCATATTTCACCACAACCACAAACTGCAGTCAAAGCTAATCAGGTTCCTTGTGTAATTAGGAATTGAAAAAGGATTAGGAGTTTGTCAACAAACCCTAGTTAAGCAAGGATTGTGAGTCTTAATCAGATTCAGTATCATAACAATGTACCCTCTTAAGTAAAGTTTCAATTTTTGAATGAATACAAGGGATAACGTTTATAACACTAGATGCAAGAAAATGTGTTTTATCATATAATTTTAAATATATTTCAGAACTGGAAAGAATGTAATAGCACAGACTTTAGATCTACAATGTAAGTTAAATATTATGGGGGGAAATTCAAGTCTGAGATTCACTGCAAGCTTACAGAAAAAAAATTGAAAAAAATTTGGTATGTTTCTATTTGAATGGTGTCACATATTTTCATTTTACAAAAGGCAAATCCATTTATATTTTATTCTATATTTTGATAGGCTTCAATTTATGTTCTGGGGATACGACCAAATACTGCCATCTACTGACAGTTTAGAATTCTTTATTTTGTTCCATTCACTCTTCTACCAATCTAGACCAATCTTATACACACTTCCCAGGGAATAAAGTCCCAAACTAGTTGGGACTTGCATCTGAGTATTCAAGAGTAAGATTAAACTACTAAAGTAACACAGTATTAACAAAAAATAATGTTTTTCCAAATGAAATAAACAGAAGACACCATCTAAAACCAAACTAGGCTTTGCCAAAGTTCTATTCACTCTAGTCTGTCAGAATGCAATTTTGCAGCTGACAAACTGGACCACGGTTACACTGTCAGTGCTGCTGAGAGTCCAGCTCCTTTTAGTTCATCTTGAATTATTTCCATCCAAGCTAATCATTATAAATGTTTTAACTTTAAGAACTTTTGCCTAAATTTTCTTCTTCCCATGTTATCCCTCTTTTGTGTTGTAACTTTTGCATTGCAATCTTTAAAGGTTTTCAACTGTAAACATGCAGTAGGGTCTTGTCTTTTTTTAACTGATCTTATGTAGAAAGTTCTGGAGGGCTTTATAGCTGCAGAGTGCAAGGAAATGCTTTAAACAAAGTACTTTTATTTAATCACACACAGAAGCAGTATCATCAGCAAGGAAACATGGTATTGCAGTCACTTCCTTCACCATGAAAACTATTGGGCTTTCTAGAAAAAAGTCATACTATTACATGCATCAAAATGACTATGATAACAAGTATAAATGCTTCGCAAAGACCAGCTTGAAAAATCAGTCCACTTATGTTCATTTTCCAAAACTTAATATAACAGCTTATTTTAAGGCATGGAAATTTTCTCTCTTTACCTGATTTTCTTCCACCAGTTGAAATTCCAGGTGAAACATCACTGACTGACAGTTTCCAGATAACCTATACTTGTGTATATTCTTAGTTTGATCTACAATCAAGGGAAATTAAGATTTACTCTTTAATGTGTACTATCTTTTGTTTCATATTTCTGTCATGAAAAAATCCATAAACAAGAATAACAATTTTAAAAAGTAAAAATATCTAACACATGATATATATATTAACACTCTGATTATTCCTGCAATTAATTATCTGTCTAAAGCAGACTTCCGAATTTGGTGCCTTCTGGATGCATTAGTCCAACACATCTGGAGGGCACCAGATTGAGGAAGTCTAATCTTCCAGTAGGGTACAGTGGTTAAGAGAGAAGGACTGGGACTCAGGTGACCTGGGTTCTAGTCCCTGCTTAGCCATGGAGTCAGCTGGATGACTTTGGGCCAGCCATAGACTCATAGCCCAACCTACTTTACAGGGTTGTTGTTGTGGGGATAAGACTGAGAGCAGCAGGAGAAAGATGTAAGCAGGAAAAGAAAAAGGCAGGATATCAATCAAATAAATAATCTAAACCAGTAACTATCATAAACAGGACTATATAAATGTCTACGGATTAAATGTTAGCATTTCAGCTCAGGTGTTCTTGAATGTGGCCCTGTCACCAGTGTGGTAGCGGGCTAATCTTGGATCAGGACTGAGTGACTTATGTTCAGTTCCCCACTTGGCCATGTAGCTCACCGAGTGGCTATGGGCCAGTCGGTCTCTCAGCCTAGTCTACCTCTCCAGGTTTTTTTGAGAAAAAAATGAAGGGGTGGGTCATGTAAACTCCCTTGGTTTCCTGGCAAGAGGGTAAAGATGGGATGTAAATGCTACATAATAGATCCATATGCTCACAATGCCTCAATTTTTATATAATACAAATATAAATGCTGAAGCAAGAGAAGCCATGTACTGTGGGTAAAGGCCCTCTTAACTGAATAGTTACAGACCAGCAGGGAACTAAAGAGTCTAAATACTTACCCTTTGCCACAGGTTTCCTGGAATACTGTGTGAACCAAATGCCTGTGAGTTTCATCATGAAGGAGAGGTCATGCTCTAACAAGTCAAGCTGTGTTTTCAGGTCTGGAGAAAATTCGCATTGCTCAAGAACTTCTTGATATTTCCTTTTAGATGATTTTCTACAAAAGAAAATCTCCATCAGATGACATCAAGATCATCAGAACTTACTTCCAGCTCTTCCATACTGATACAAGAGCTATATTAGTGTGTACGTAACTGATTTTTTAACATTTATCTCTCTTTTTATGAAATAATAGCCTGTTCAGGCATAATAATCTTAGTCCAATAAATTCTATCTGACTCCTCTTGAATGCTGAGTTTTGATGTTGAACCACAGTTTCCCGTGATATCCTATCTGAGAGGCTGGTTTAAAGGCTCTCAACAAATCATGATAATCTAGATTTATATCCTGGTTTGCTGAGTACCCTCAAAGCCAGCAGTTTTCTAGTTGGCATGTCAAAGGAAATTGTGGTTTAACAGGTTGAATATGACGATTGAAGGGAGATGAAGACAGTTTATTGGACTAACAACTTTAAGTATGATGTAGACCAAGTATGAATGATCTAGTAATTTCAAGTTCCAAATATAATAATCTTCATTACAGTGAGTGCTCAACTTTAAAAACAATAGAAACAAAAGCAAGTTGTATGCAAGAATACTCAAGAAGCTGCTTGCTCTTTACATTAATGTAAGATTTTTTTTCTTCTTTGCTATAGATTTGAAAGCACATCTATTGCTGAATTGACAAGGTATCTTCAGTTCCAAAACACCAACTCCCTAAAAATAGCATGTTCTGGGTACCAGGAAGCTATCTTTTATAGAAGATCTTTAACAGGAAAATCATTCAATTTCATATTATTTGTACATAAGACAGAGACAGTCCCTTGCATTATATCTCCCAGACTTAGCTAATGAGCCCCCAAGGATCCCAAACCCCAATAAACAAACAGGTCTTTCTTCTGAATAAACATGCTTATACTTTTATGAATGCAACAGAAGTTGAAAGGCATTAAATCCCTGCAAACAATACTTAGCTAGTTCAACCCACTGCTTACATCAAGCCTACCTACACCAAAAGGGGGCCTTCAAAACAATCCTTGAAGGGTAAGGTGTAAAAAAAGAAAAATCAGAATGCATTACATAGTCTTCATTATCTCCCCCTCAGAATAAGCCATTGATCCATGCTGTCTGTTTTCCCATTCTTCTGTTAATATCTGTATTTCTTCTTCCAAAGTTTGAATTTCATCTTCATAAACCTGAAGATCATTGTTATCCATTTCTCAGACACCAGATTTCTTAAAGAAAAAAGTACAGAACAGTAGTTATGTAAATAACAATATTCTTCCACAATATCATTTTAACATGAAGTTAAAGATTATGTTTTCATATGTTAAAATGAAGTACCTGGGAATTAGCCCTACTGAAAACAATGGGGCTTACTGGATGGCAGTGCTACAGCATGACCCGGTGTGGCTCTGAACATGGACATGGCCAATTTTAGCCATCCTGGTGTTATATACTGGAATGCAAAGAAAGGAGGCTAGGGCACCACCAGGATTCCTCTTCCCCTCCCTGAACAACAGGCCCCAAGCACCAGCTCTGAAGCAGGCCTTACGACTTCGGAAACACAGTTGGTGTAGAAAGAACTGCACCAGCTAAGGCAGGAGAAGGGTACTCTAAACTTGGGAGTCCCAGCCCTGATTTTTCCTGTGTCACCCCAGCACTGCCTCAGGGGCATAGGATTATTTGACACGCAAGCTCTAAGGTCTTGCAATGCTGGAGTTGGGCTTCTGAACATAGACACTCAGGCTCCCTTGTACCCAGTGTAAAGAGAACTGCACTAGCTACTTTCTTCTACATTTGGCAGTGAAGAGGTCTACATTTTCCAGCATGCCCCAGCCAACTATGCTAGTTGGGACTTGCTGGGTGTTCTGGGCCTATTTTTGTCTAAACATACACCTTAGAAATTCTAAAAGACATTAATTTGGATTAAATAAATTTGTACAGTGATGCATAATATATATAGTTAAAAAGTCAAGATCTAAATAAAATATTTTGAAGTCAGTCATATAATATAGGACATTATAATGACTATTTAGATACCTCTTTTATCATTGATACACGTCTTCATAAACCTAACACAACCTGCTTCCCCAAAAGTAAGACCTAACTGGAAAATAAGCCCTAGCATGATTTTTCAGGATGCTCGTAATATAAGCCCTACCCCAAAAATAAGCCCCAGCTAAGATCATCAGCCAGACGGATGCATTTAGTATGTCCGTTGCAACGCAATTTGGGGTTTGGAGAGTTATGACAATGTTCCAGAAGATGACAGGACTGTATTTGAATAAATGTGGATTTTTGTACATGAACAAATGTAGATTTTTGTACATGAATAAATGAATATAGATTGTTGTACATGAAAAAATAAGACATCACCTGAAAATAAGCCCTAGAGTGTCTTTTGGAGCAAAAATTAATATAAGACCCAGTCTTATTTTCAGGGAAACATGGTAGGTACATGCATACATTTATCATGCATGTGGTCTAGAAAGCTCCATAATTAATGCATATCTATAGACGTGTTTTAGTTAAATTCCACCTTTCCACAGAAAAGAATGTCCAAAGACAATTTGTGGTTCTTGAAAACTAGCTCTGATTGCAAACTACTTTGGCACAAAACAAAAACCACTTGCCATTCTCAGAGGCTTGACTGAAGAGCAGAATAAAAACGCTTTGGATAAATCTTTGGAAAATAAACTTTCAAAAAGCATATGAATGCAGCATACAGATCTGAGTCTCAATGGAAAAGAAACTGCAGTCCCACTGGGCATGCCACGGCTCCTGGGAATACATAAGTAACACTTTAGAACATGGGTCCTCAAACTACAGCCCGTGGGCTGGATCCGGCCCGCCATGACCATTTATTCAGCCCGCCATAGTTCACCATGCGTGCATGTGCGTGTGCATGGCAAGCCGGCGCCTAGCCGTGCGCAGGGCAAGGCGCCGACTTGCTCGCAAGGAAATCATTTTGAACTTGCTTGGAGAAAACGATCTCTGTGCACACACACCCCTGCCTTGCCATGTGCATGCCCCCGTGCCCCGGCCCGCACCACCCCCGCCTGCACCTGGCCCCCTGTTCAAAAAGTTTGAGGACGCCTGCTTTAGAACATACTTCCAAACCAATATGATCAGCAACTCATTGATAAGTGAGTTCAAAATTTTGAGCATTCTGGTTTTAAAAAGGCAATTAAATGGAAACATGGTGTGGTAAAATAACCTTTCTTTATGCAGTCAAAGAATTTTTATCCTGTCTTCAGCCAACACTACCAAAGCAGCTTTTGTGGAAAGAGTACAGACAGACACTGTTCTCCATCTAGAACCCAAGTCATCTAATATATCTGAGGTGTTGGTCTTTTAGGATAGGCAAGCGAATACTTCAGTCACATACCACATGATTAAAAAAGAATAGAATGTTTTAAATAGTTGTGCTAAGAGCACATTTCAGCAGGTATAACTTTCCATGCAAGCAACACCTGCTGAAATCTGCTCTTCTACACCAACTACAGAGGTACCTTGGTTCTCGAACTTAATCCGCTCCAGGACTCTGGTTGTGATCCAGACTGGTCCTGAGCCAAGTCAAATTTCCCCATAAGGGTCAATGAAAATAAGGTTAATCCATTCTGCAACTATTTTTTTTACTCACAAAAATATGAAGCAAAGTTACAAAGAATGACAAAGATCGCAGCCATCTCCCCACCCCACACAGCACTTGTGCGTAGGGGGGGAGATGGGCGTGATTGTGGGAGTGCTGGGGGGGAGGCAGGCACGGGGGAGTGTTGTGCACAGGGGGAGGCGGGCGCGGGTGCATGGGGGAAGGTGGATGCAGGTGCACTCGGGCAGGGAACATGGGTGCAATCGCAGCCATCTCCCCCCTCAGCATGATGCGGCCATTTCATGCAGGGAAGGCGGGCGTGCTTATGATCGTCACCTGATGCAGAGTTTGCAACCTGCAGCAAAATGTTTATGAAATTTCTATTCGCAACCTGATTTGGTCATGAACTGAGGCGTTCGTGAGCCAAGGTACCAGTGTAGTTTAAAACGCCTTCCTTCAGCTTCGGCTGATTAATCAGCTGCGCCCCTACCTGGAGTACGACTGCCTGGCGATGGTGACACACGCGCTGGTGACTTCCCGCCTAGACTTCTGTAACGCGCTTTACGTGGGGCTTCCCCTGAAGACAGTCCAAACACTTCAATTGGTGCAAAATAGAGCTGCCAGGTTGCTGACGGGGACGGGGCATTATGCTCACATGACTCCAGTCCTCCGTCAGCTTCACTGGCTTCCCATTGAAGCCTGGGCCCAATTCAAGGTGTTGGTTATGACCTATAAAGCCCTAAACGGCTTGGGTCCTGGCTACCTGAACGAGCGCTTACGTCCGTATATGCCCGACCGCCCTTTGAGATCTGCGGGAGAGTCCCTTCTCCAGGAACCCTCCATGAAAGAAATTAGGAGAGTAAGTACCCGGAAGAGGGCTTTCTCTGCGGTGGCGCCCAACCTATGGAATTCACTCCCCAAAGAGGTCCGCCTGGCACCGTCGTTACTGGTTTTTCGGCGCCAGGTAAAGACCTTTTTATTTAAACATCATTTCAATTGTTAAAACATATGATCAGGCCATGGCAACTTCTTCTTCCTTCTCTTTCTCCTCCTATATTTTTATTTTATACTGATAATTTTAATTTTATATTTGTAAATCAATGTATTTTTTGTATTTTTATATTTAATGGTACTTTATTATGTACTATTGTATTTCAATGTATTTTATCATGTTGTAAGCCGCCCCGAGGTTTCGGCAAGGGGCGGCATAGAAATGTAATAATAATAATAATAATAATAATAATAATAAAAAGTATAGTGGCTGTGCCCCCTTGTAAATATAGTCACTCTACTGCAAAGAACAGAAAAGCTAGGCAACAGAGAACAGCACATGTTCAGAGGCACTCTTGTCAAAAAGCAGTGGCAGCAACATTCCACATTTCAAAAACAACAACGTGTCTTGAACCACCTAAAAACAGGTGCCACAGCCTTTTGGACCTGTGGGCACATTTAGGAATCTGTCAAACTGCTGTGGGCATCATTGCAAATTGTCTCCCACGGAGGATGCGGCTAGTCATAGACTGGCTGCTGTGGAGACCTGGCTAAGCCAACCCTACATTACAGTGGTGGTAAGAGAAACTATAGCAAGGCTAAAAAGCAGAGAAGGGGAGAAACAGCAAGGCAAAAAGTTGAGGAAAGAAATAGCGGGGCTAGAGAGCGAGGGAAAATAGCAAGTCGAACGAGCAGAAGGGAATAAGAGATTACGACAAAAGGCTCTGCAGGGAGAGAAAACTGCCCTACTTTTCCAAAGATTTTTTTTTTGGGGGGGGGGGAGCTTTGTCGTTGCTGTTGCGGAAGCCGGGGACGGGGGAGGTTTGCGGGCACCGCTGCAGTCCCCGCGGCACCGCCTGTGAAGCGACGCCCGGATCCTCGCCTAAGCCGTTCCGGACCCAGCCCGCCCCGAAAGCGCCCCCGGACAGCCGCCTTAGCCCTGCAAGCCGCGAGGATGCCTCTGCCCCGCAGACTGCCGCGGCTGCGCTTCCCCGAAGCGGCCCCCGCCCCGCCCCAACCTACCAGGGATCGGGCCAGCCTTGGCCGCAGCTGCCGAACGTTTCTCTCCCCTTCTGAACTAACCGCCAAATAAAGCGCCACTGAGGCAGTACCATCGCGTAGACTGCGAGAGGGGGAAAGGGAGGAGAAGATGGCCGGGGAAGTCACAGACCGAGCTTTAGAACCGTCTGCCTCCTTCGAAGCCTGCAGTAAAACCTCTGGGTCCTTGCCGCGAAAAGAAAAAAATCCTGTGGTCGAAGGGGAAGTCTATCGCCTCGTTGCTTGGCATTCTCTCTCCCCCTTCCTAGCAGTCATATAGTTCAGTCCGGAAGTGTCTGCGATATAACTGACCGGCTGGGAAACAGTGGCCCCGGCCGCTTCATAGAGATTAGAAAAAATTAGAGAGCGAAGAACCATCGTTTCGGGGAGGGGGAAGCAAGTGGTCTTCAGTCCAAGTGCCATGAAGCTCGCAGCTGCGATTGCATCCGCCCCACTAGTTTGCCTTGGGAAGTGCGTGCCGACTCCCTTTGGCTGTCCTGTTCGCAGGGGAGAACTTCACGCCCCTTCTTTGCTATGAGTGTCTTCTTTGGGGGGTGGAAATCCACATCAGCCCCTGACTGTTAGTAAGTGACAGCGCCGGCTCTGACCTCTACTACGATATTTGTGTGTGCTCTTCAACAGCTCCAGCGGATGTGTGCTGTGCTTGGTGTTCTTAAGGCTGCAGTCCTGCCCACTCCGGTCTGGGATAGGACCTGTCGCACTGAATGAAGCGCAAAAAATTGCCCGGAGCGCCGGGGCACTGTGGTCCTAAGTGACGGCTGGTGCAGCCAGGGTAGGACCCTGGAGCCAAAGTCCAGGGCCCTGGAGCCGAGGGGGGCCGGTAAAGCGGCAAGCATAAGCAAACCCCGTTTTATTCCTATAAGGATGATGATGCTGTGATTGAAGTGTGTTTAAAGGGGATAGCTGCACATGTTTGGCGTATTTGTTAGGGGTTCGACAAACATACCAAGAAATAGAATTAATTACAAGGCACGGGATGGAGAGTGCTAACGGTCATATTGTGTGCTTGGCAATTAACTAATACAGGTGACCATCTAAAGCCGCCCCTGCCGAGAAACCATTAAATCTGAGGATCAAGTTGCTTTTCTGCACACGAACATCCATACGTTGGGGGGGGGGCAACCTTGAAATCTTTTGCAGGGGAACGAGTCTTTTCAAGCTGGTGCCCTCCAGGCGTCCGAGACTGCAATTCTCTCCTTCCCTGGTAATGATGGGAATTGCAGGCCAGCACCTTTGGAAGGCACCAGGCTGGGCCGCTCTCGCATGCAAATAATTTAACGCTGGAGTACAGTGGAGGGCTGCTGCAACACCATCCCGTCTCCCTCCTCCTCAGCCCTCCTATCCTCGGGGACAGGCAAAAAACGGCGCCGTTGCAGGGGCTGCTTAGGGGCCGCAGTTCCTCCTCTCTCGCGGCGGACGCACGAACTAGGGCTTGCCGGCTGCACGTCCGGCAGTTCCGCGGAACGCGTTGCTCCGGAGTGCGTGGCGGAAGTGGAGCGGGGGGGAAAGCACGCGAGGAGCGCTCTGTTGGGACCACGCCGGGAGGGTCTGCCGGGCAGCGTGGAGGGGCTGAGCCGGTCCTTGCAGTTCCCGGCGGGTCTCCCTTCCTGGGCGCTCGCTCGCTTGCCTGGGCTTGGTGGGGAAAGGAGGAGCGCCGCAGCGCATTCGCGATCTCTTGCGGCGCAGCCGCGAGCATCCTAAGTAAGCCCTCTTGGTTTCGGGGTGGGAGTGTCAGGGACCGACCTGACTTTCTCTTGCGGGCTGATTGCGGGCACGTCATTCAGAAGGAAGCTTCGTCGAGCGAATAAGCTAAGGACTGTAGGAGGAAGTCCGCTTATGAGAGCAGCTTTAATTCGGACCATCCGAGCGCTCAAATGCAGCAACCGCCGCTGTGTCGCGCTTCACTTTTCCCTCCCTGGTCAAAACGTCAGAAGCAGTTGCGAGTTACCATTTCGAAAGCAGACGCTTAGGGCTCGCTCTTCCAAGCTGGGTCAGTACCTTCCATTAGGGATTTTAGACTTCTGGTGTCCTCGCTGTTTTCGAGCTACTTAGGTCGCAATCCTGTGCAAGTTCAGGCGGAAGTTGAAGGCTTTTTTCTGTCTAAAATGGCATAACTTTCTGGCTGAACTCCTAAATGCAAGTTCATAATGATATGGTTGAACTGTGGTAAATTGGAATTAAAGTGATGATAGGTTGGATGGGGTATTCACACTTGGTGGTAAACTGTTGTTTAATGCTACACGCATAAGCAAAAAGGAGTTTGCATACCCCTGACTCCATGCTCTTGCATGACCTGGAGAACTAAACCAGAATTTAGATTAACTTTAGCAGATTCCTGACTTAGTACTACATACACACCAAAACTCTTGCTAAGAAAGTGTTTTTGCTGGATTGGTTAAGGAGCTAAAACTCATTTTAAACTGAAACACCTGATTTGCAACAGATCAGGTATCTAAATTCTGGTAGGCATGATTTATTTATTCTCACAAGAAAAATGAAAGTGTCCACAAACTGAACACAGGCCTTGAGGGTTATTGTCTGTTTCCTGTCCTTGGTTTGGATGATCTAGTCTGCTGTCCTGCTGTCCTATATTTTTGAATTGCTTAAATTTATTTTTGGATGATAATGTGTATAATTTCAGTGTTAAACATTTGCCTTATAGAAAAGCCATACCTGTAAGAGGACATGATAGACTAGCACATTTGCTGAATTTTTTAATATGGAGCAAGCTGCAGTTACAAAGCGACTATATGTTGGAGGACTTGGCCATACCATTTCTGAAGCTGAATTACAGGAAAGATTTGGCAAGTTTGGAACTGTTAAAGAAACAGAAATTGTGACCCGGAAGGATGAACATGGTAATATATTTATACTGTTTAAAAGTACTTGCATTACAAAAATAGCAGCCAGGGTAGTAACCAGTAATATTATTCTAGTAACACAAATTACATTGTGTTACCATAAGCATAAGCAACCTCTAGCTCAACACCAATAGCATTAGTCTTTGTGATGGGTTTTCCAAGAAATCCTGTCACACAAGGTGATGTTATTGGATTTGCACCAGAGGTTCCTTGTACTAATAAAATGGCATTGTCAAATGTTGTAAGACTACAATTCAGTCTACACACATACCTAGGAGTAATGTCTGATCACAGCAGGCCTTGCTTTTGAATAAACATGCATACAATTATACTGATATTTTTCTATTCTAAAATTTTCTTTTTGGTAAGCTGTTTCTTTTTAAAGTCTGTTTTTGGATTAATTAGATTCTCATTCTTGAACAGGAAATCCTACAAAAACCTTTGCATATATCAACATCACCCTGTCAGAAAAAGAACTCAAACAATGTAAGTATGTGAACTTTGTTGGCAGTGTAACTTCTTGTAAGTGTGTCTCAGGTACTGAAACAAAACTGGTTAATAACACTGAAATCTGTAGGTAGGAAAACACTTTTGATTTACACAACTCAAGTGCATATTGATCTAATGTTTTTCTTGCACTTATAGTCTCTATGTTTAATTTTAAGCTGAGCCTCTTGAAGAACTTGAAAATATCTGTGTGTGTATTCTTGTAATAAAAGTAGAATATTCCCAATTTATCCCAACTGCTGTTGGAGAACCTTAAAGAAATCCTTTTATGAAATTACTCTGTGTGGATTTTAATATTTACATGTGAACTACTTAAAGATTTTATATTTCAGAAATGTATCAAAATAAATATATGCCTTCATATAATTTCATGCATGCTCCTATAATCATATTTCTGTTCAACCCTTTACTGATGTGATTTATTTCTGTTAATATCAATCCTACATTCCTGTTTTCTCTAAGACTTATAAAAACCTCTTCTTCCTTGCTTACCAAGCTACCCTTTAACATTCTTTCAAGTGAGAGAAACATGTGCATGTGGCTGAATTAGTATTTGAAGCCCATGTTTCCCAGTTCTCAACCCAATTTACCTATCCACTAGGCTGTATTGTTTTTCTCCTTGATCAGCAGTACTTGAGATAATTTGGTAGTTGTTGAAAACCGCTTAAAGTCCTGTAGGACTATAATAAATTAATAAACAATGGCTTATCAATATATAAGTTAAAACATTGTTTCTGTTTACATTTTCTTTTAAAAGGTATATCTGTTCTAAATAAGACAAAATGGAAAGGGGGGATGCTACAAATAGAATTAGCCAAAGAGAGCTTTTTGCACAGGTAATTCTTGACACTTTACAAACAACTTTTATTGAATTCCATGGGGTGCTTTATCAGAGGGTTTTTATGTTTTTTTGGTATATAAATGAATACATCTATAGGATTTTCACAGACATAATCATTTGGAGTTAAGCCAAACATTTGCTTTTTATTAAGCTTCAGAAAAGTATTTTTCCATGGGTGTTGGTTTTGAGGCATAGGACGTACACTATAACAGATTGCAATAATTGAATTGTGCAGAAAAGAAGAAATCTATACAAATGTTGGATGGACAGAGGTCAAACTTGCAGAACCAGCTTTTTATGTGTACCTCAGTGTCCACCGAAAGTGGGAGGGAAAACTCTACACTTATAATTAAGGAATAAAATGCTTTCTTTTCTTCTCTTTATCAGAACTTGACTTCACCATTCTCACACAAAAAATTTACTTCTCATATTCTTAATTTTAAAAGCATTACAGGGTGGTTGATGACCATTGTTGCCAGTATTGTGAAATGGGAGACAAAAACATGTAAATGTCAGGGATTTGCAGGCTCTGAGCTAGACTCAAGCTGCATGCATGTATACAAGCTCTTGATGCTCTTTTCAATCTCTTTCTCTTGACAAACTGCACTTATGTGCTGCCATACAGACTAGCACAGGAACGTCAAGAGGCAAAGATAAAAAGGGAAAAAGAAGACAGTAATGGTAGGGCCAGCATTACCGAATCGATGAAGAAGTCTGGAGTTGTAGATTTTAATTTGAAAGCAGTACCAGGAACAGAAGTGCCCAACCATAAGGTATGAGAAGTTTATTGGAAGTCATCTAATTGGTAGGCATGATGATGTTAGTCAAATTTTAGATTTAAAGGGTTCCCAGTAAAAGTTGTTTCTTATCATCTGCACTATCACTTATATGCGTCTTTGTTAAAGTTGTTGCATTTGATTTCCAAAAGCCATGATAAATTATGTGGAGGGAGATATCTGAAAGACAAGTTCTTTCCAATTGAATCTTCCTGCAGTTTAAGTTTTGCTTCAGAAGCCCCTCTGTATGTTTCACCACTAAAACAGGCTTGGTTGGTGGGACAAGGTTTTCTCTGTGGTGGCCACGTAATTGTGGAACTCTTTCCCTAAAGATGCTAGACTGGCATCTTCTGTGTTTAGTTTTAGATAGGCTACCACAACCATTTTTCTATGTGACTTTTGAATTATTTTAAATGTGTTAGCTCTGTTTGTCTGTGCGAGATGTTTTAAAGTTACTTAATTGTTTTAAAGTTTCAAATTGTATGGACAAGTAACTCAGAAATAATTCTATAATTTTGTTCTCTTTCATAGAACTGGGTTGTTGGCAAATTCGGCAGAGTTTTACCCATCCTCCACCTGAAAAGTCAACACAAAAACAAAATATCCTTTTCTGAAGACTAGGTAGATGTTAGACACAGGTAGTTATCACTACCCAGTTCCTAATACTGGGTTGAACCCAGATTCTTTCTTCAGTCACTAGAAGGATAAGACTGGCAGACATGCCCTCTCAAGAGAAATATCCTTCTGATGAAGATGCTTAATACAAGCCACCACTTACTATGGGGGGCAGGAACCTGCAGCTTTCATGTGATGTTGGTTTGTGATTCCAGCCATGTCTATTTATTGGCCTGGCTGACTGAGACTGAGAGAGTTCAGCAACATCCAGAGGATTATATGCATAAGTTGCCCCCGCCGGTCCGCAGTGTGATAACTGCAGCTGTACCAACCTGTGGCTGGTCTAAAACAAAAGAAATCAAACAGGGACTATCAGTTGAAATCATTAATCAAGAATAATGAAGAGCCCCAAGAATGCAACAAATACGTTGTGTTAAAAATATTCTGAACTGAATGGTTCTAAAAATGTTTGCTTGTGTGTGATTAGAAGTAGCATGTATGCAGTATCCTTTTAATGTTTGTGTACATTGATGCAGGAGATGAGGTTTCAGTGACTCAGCAATGAGGAATTGGCTTGCTGCCAGCTAGGGTTGTGTGGCTGTGCATATTTTTTTCCCCTACAATGTGGCTTGGCTTGCTGTTCTTCATGTGTGGGTGCAATGCATGCAAACTGTTTGAAGTGTTTTGTTAATGCTGTTTCAGGATGTGTCTGTATTTATGGCACAGCAGCTGTACTGTTAGCAGAGATCTGGCTTTGCATGTGGACACCATGGTCATGTGTTTCCTTTCAGTTCTTTGGTTCCTGGGTGGTGTACTTGAACATCTTCAAAATGCATTACATAAGCAATTTAATAACAACACATAATCCTATATCAGGCGATAACATGATTACACTGTAGCCTAAACCTGCTCAACTATAATTGGACTAGTTTATCATGCAACTACTTTTCTTTTGGAATGCAGGGAGACAGGATTCTCTTTAAAATTAGTGTTTTCTTTTTAAAAGAAGGAAAGCAAGCAAAGCTTTCTCTTAAATTTCTGAATTTTTGCCAGCAGAAGGGTAGTTATTTTCCTTAATTCAAGGGATGACATCATAAAATATGACCCTTCCAGATATTGCCATAATATAAAAAAACTGGATCAAGACCTTCCTGAAACAGTTTCCATTTCCCAGCTTACTTGGCATCTGGAAGAAGGTGATGATATCATAAGTAAGAAACGGCAAGGACAGTTTCCTGTAACCAAGAAGCCACCTAAAAAGAAAATGAAAGTACAAGACAAGGATAGTTTAAGCAGGACAGAACTGAATTCATGTTGTCAGTTTTCATCAGGAGCAACAAACAGAGCCCAAGCAAAAGTGGTTCAAAACCAAACACCTGATACAAAAAAGCAAAGCAAAGAGTGCTTTGTAGCTCAGAGGCTTGGAACTGGTTTAACATCTTACAGGAATATGAATAAATTGTCTGACAATGCTATGGATTCTGAAGAAGAAGAAGAAATCAGAGCCATCATAACACGAGAAAAAGAAGTGCTCAAAGATAATCATGGTACTGAACCTGAAGATAATGTGGAAATTGTCGGAGACGAGTTTGAGCTGAAATATAATACTCATTGGTCTGTACAAAAAGCTTATGATGTCAAGGCAGCATGTAATGGCATGGTAAGGACTGATGAAAATGAATCCAGTTATGATTCAGCTGACACAGATGAAATTATAGCAGTGACTAGAATGCCAAATAGGAAAAATACTGATGCTCTAAAGGGACCTAAGGCAGGCAACAAAGGAATGGATGGCACGTCTGAGAAAGGCATATTAACGCATGGTGCAGGTTCTAGATCTTCTGACTCAAATGGGTTAATACTTGATAAACAAAAAGTGCAAGAAGGATCAGTGCCTGAAAAAGCAAGATATACTACGGCTGCTCAGATTCCTGAACAGAGCAGTGTCAATAATAAATGCAAGTCTGAGGACGGCGAAAGTTCTGATTCATCTGTTGGCACAAGTGAGCCTGATGGTGATTATGAAGCAGTGATGCAGAGCTGCTTCAGACTTGATCTTACATTAGAAGACTTGGAGAGATTAGCCAGTGAAAAGATCGACACTACAGATGAAGATGATACGGGAAGTAACCAAAGCAATATTCAGTGCAGCAACAATGCATCTCCCATTAATAGTACTAGCAGTAATATAAAGAAAAACACAAGTAGCCCTACTCTGAAAAAATACATCTGCCCAGAGGAAATTGTTTCCGCCCTTCTAGAAGAGAGTTCTGATGAAGATAATCCAAAGAAAAAACATGTAAAGCCGAAAGTTCAGCCTTTCAGAGGAATAGGGTCCCTAAATATGAAACTGACTAAGAATGAATTAGGCACACAAAAAGGTATAGCTAATCAGACTACTTCTAACCCTGTTCATCTAGACATTCTGAAAAATGTTACAAGCCCTCGGAGCTCAGACTCTGCAAGTGAAAGGGTTAATCACAAATCACTTTCACTAAAAGAAATTAAATCAGACTCTCACAAAGAAAGTCGTTTATTAAAACCTGACATTTCTGACACTTCCAGTGCAGAAGCTGGCAAAGTGGAAAGCAGTGATGTGAGTGTCACATCTAAAGAAAAGCAATCCAAAAATGTCAAATCACTTTCCAAGAGATCCAGAGTAGAATCTCCCATTGAAGTTTCCAGTCTTGTACAGAGTAAGAATTTAAGTAGTCCTCTGAAAAAGGAAGCAGCCTTTCTGGACTCTGTAAATACTACAAGCAAGTCAGATACAAAGGCAAAACAGCTGCAGGATAATGAAAGACGGCTGACAGCTCTGCAGGAGAGGCAAAAAGAACGAGAACTGCAGAAGAAACTTATCCATGGAGCTTTGACCAGTGTGGTAGCTTTATTTTTATACTTTGTGTTTATTGTGAAAGTTTGTTCATGCAATGGGACTTCCCTATCTTCCTTTCCCCAGATCTGTTCCAAAGGGTCTCCTAAACCTCCAGAGCAGATTTGGGGCATGTGCAACAGCCTGCAGGAAAGGAAGGGGAATTGGTTTTCCACTGGCAGCACACTACCATTAAATACCGACCTAGTAGTTGTATAGAATATTTGAAGATACAGAACTGGAACTTGGGTAAATAGCAGCATTAGATAGCTTTAGTAAATAAAGTATTTGTAATAGTGGCTGATCATAAAACCTTGCATTTCAGAATTATTGTCCCCTGCAGCCATAATATCAATACAATCAATGGGGCAATCTTGTATGTCTTTAAGAAAGAAATCCTGCTATATTCATTTGGACTTGAGTCCAATCATCTTGCAGTCATGAGCATACTTAGGCTGCAAACCTAAGCACATATATGAGGAAGTAAATCTCAATACAGTGGGACTTAATTCTGGCTATACATGGCTAAGATTGTGCTGTAAAGACCAGTTTACAGCACAGTGTTACACATGGTTACTCAAAACTAAGTTGAGGACTTGAACATAGCTTCTAAGTGCTTAAAGCCAGGGCACAGGATTTCACCTTAAAATTGGGAATGTGCTCAGGCAATGCTTTCCCATTATCCTTTGTTTATACTGGAACAGCAGATACTGAGTATAAGTGCTGTGGAGTAGCTTTGTTATGTCTTTTGCCTAAATAAATACATAAATAAAATGGAAAGTGCTCTAATTTTCCATACTCATCGTGATTTACAATCTGATTTTGTAGGAAACGCGATCAACAAATAAGCAGAAACATATAGTATTTGATTCAGACAGTGAAAATGAACAAGTAGTCTCTAAGGAAGGATGTTCAGGAGAGCCGCTGGGAAAAGTAAGTAGATGAAAATGGTTTCTAATAGATCCAAAAAATTGCTCTAGAATCTTGAATACATGTTGGAGAGGCTAATCCAATACATGTGCCTGTTCTTACAGTTACTGGCACTATTTAAAAAAACAAACCTTATTGAAACTTCCAAGATACACAGAATCAACAGCAGCAAACAGGGAACATTTTAAGCAACATTTAATGGAAGATAATATAGAAGAAGAAATACTGTATTACCAAAAAATGTAAAAAAAAAAAAACCTTCCAGGCATTTTCCAACATGCACTCCCAAATGTCACTGTTGGTACTCTTTCTTTACTATCCAGAGAAGGGATAGACAAACTTTTCCAAAACTCTTCTTGTAAAGGAAATTGATGGAAGAGCTGTAGAAATGTTAATCTCGTATTGTTTTCCTGAATCACTCAGGGTTTGGAGCTCATTGCTTGTCCCATATCATCTAATGGAGTGTGTTCTTTCTTACAAATGAACAGAGCTTACAAAAGTATTTGGAATTACTTTTAGAATTAACTGATTATTAAAGTTCTGTGCTTATTTCTTACTTATTTCTTACTCTGCCCAAGGGATTCACCACTAAAACATCTGGGAAGTTGTTTGAGAGCAGTGAGGAAGACTCAGATACTGCCGATGAAGAAGACAGATTCAGAATCAAACCTCAATTTGAGGGTAAAACTGGTGAGAAGGTTAGTAAATCTCCTTACTCTTGCATTTCTGTAGATGAATTTTCCCTAACCATGTTAGGAAAAACAGTTCCAAATACATGTTCCCATGTTTACAGCTCAGCTTGTAGACCTTGTTAGTTTCATCATTTTTTACCCTAAGTCATGGCAAAATTTCTCTTTCTGACAACAAATAGCTTTTCTGTCCTTTGATTTCTTCACCTGCCTCCCCTGTAGGTGAAGCAGCATTACATAAAGTTGAGTATCAGACCAGTTATGCTTGCACAGAGGTACCTTTTCTCCTCCTCCTCCATTCTAACTGCATCCTGTATGGTCAGCTTATTTTCACCATAAAAGCTCTCTGTGCAGGAACCATACCTTTCCAGTGTTTGAGTATGTGGGACTACATCATGGAAATCATGTTTATAAATGTTACACTTCCAAAGGCTTTCTATCTCTATATGTTTGCACATAATGTCACTTTTAGCACATGGCAATTACTAAAGACTGAATATCTGGCATGAACCATGAAAGAGGGAATACTAACCATCTATTTTTTGTTGTTGAAGCTTTTGCATTTGCAGTCACGATTTGGCACAGATGAAAGGTTCCGTATGGATGCTCGCTTCCTGGAAAGTGACAGTGAACAAGAAGGTTAGGTGTTGATTGCTTTGGAGAGCACTTTACAAACCTTTATTAGAAACAGAACCTTATGCTGTAATCATCTTAAATATTTCATATTGCATGTTACCCACTACTTTTCCAAAACGTGTCAAAAGCCTATTAACAGATATTGTCCCCATTTTCATAAGTGATGTAGAAAGTGGGAAAAGAGGAATCACGCACCATAACTGCTCTCTGCTAGAATAATCGTATGAATTACTCTGCACGTTTAAGGAGAAGCAAGGTCACCTTTCAAAATACTCTTTTTTGCAGTTTTGAGTAACTTATATAGATTTGTCAGTTCCTATTCAATATAAAATATTATCTTACAAAACCTTCCTGAAGCCATTACCGCTGTGAACTGAGAATCAACAAAATAGTCTTGAAAGCATTTTGCTTTAAATGTGCATTAGGGTTGTTAGGCTATATACATAATTGTGCATCTACTCAGCCTAGTAAGATTCTACATCATCACAGTACAGCAAATTCTCGAGGGTGGACTATGGTCATTAATGTGGTTTGTCAGTGGCTTGTAAAGTAGCATGTAATGTCAAACCATAATTGGATTAAACAGTGCATTATAAACAGTTTCAAACTGTTTGATGTCCTGGTTAGGCAACCCCTGAATACAGAATGTTCTACCATTGAAAGCAAATCATGTTTAGGCATGATGTCTGTATGCAGCCAATATGACAATGTGGTGCTGAAAATTGAGCCTGTTGAAACCCTTCTTTAACACTAATGAACTTTTCTCCTGCTAGATGAATCAAATAAATTGGAAATGGATAAAGAGGAAGAACTCACTTTAGAAAAAAAGAAAAATCTTGAGATCTTGCAAAGTCTTCTGCATATTGGTGTAGAACCTCCCAAACCTAGCAAGCTAACTGCAAATACCAGAAAATTCAAGTATGATCGTTTTCTTATTGGGGGAATTCTGGCGTGCTCTAAACATTCAGATGAATGAAGTGATAGAATGTATCATACTTCTTACCACTAATTTATTTAGTATATGTACTTTCCTATAGTAAATTGTACTCAGTGTCTCACAACAGATTTTAACTGATCAAAGAACAATTTTTAAAGAAAAAGTGTTTGCATGTTTGTTGCAGAATAACTATTTAAAAAATCAAAAACAATTGAAAATATAACTGACTGTTGGTGAGGGAATATTAGTATTCAGTGCTTTCTTTGTTAAAAACTCTAGTTTTTTGTTTATGTTTCCTGGAATACTATCATGTGTTATGAGTAGTAGAATAGCAAGAGCTCATGGTCGTTGCAACAGAACTTGTTGATGGCAATGCTGAAACTAAGGAGTTCAATTATTACCACTCCTAAGGTTTTGTATCCTCTTTGGCTTCAGGCTTAACATTTCCCCACAGCACATGGTCCTTTAGACTTGAGCAAATCAAGCTTCAGTCTCCTTCCCAGCTCTACTATCTGTGCCCTATCATCCCCACAGTAGGTTTTATCATTTGTTTATGACAAATTTGGCACAGGAGTTTTAGCAAGACCAAGTAAGGATTCTAAACCAGCATATACTGGACTGTCTTCAGCCCAAGCACCATGCAATCTTAGAGCATGCCTTCCTTCATCGTCTCTTATATAGCTTAGTGCTATTGATGCTGGTCCTGTTTTGATACCATGGCACTGAGTAAGTGAAATTTTCATGCAAATCTTACGGAAGGAGCAACTGATGAAATCTCTCTTGTATTCTATGTATCTTGAATAGATATCAACACAAATGCATTATTTGAGTATCAGGACATACAAATACAGCAACATGATTTTGAGTATATAGATCTTTTTACTACTAAGTATAGTATTTGTTTATAAAGTAATGCTTGAGTCTCTAGTTGGTATGATATGTTTGAATGAGAAAGCTCGTTCATTCCCTGCACTTACAAAAGATAAACTAATTTGTATCTGACAAGCTGAATGTTAATAAGGATGCTATGATATGAACCATTAGGGCAATTCTATACCCCATTTCTGGGAGCAGGCCCTACTGAACTCAATGGGACTTATTTCTGAATAAATATGCATAGAGTAGCACTATAAACAATTTATTTGCCTTGCATCCTATTTGTCTGCAGTCAAGGAGGATATGAACACAATGTATATATTTTTAATGTAGGGATTCTAGTCCCAGTTTGGTGTCCCAATTCTGACCTTGGAAACATGCTGTGAGGTTAGAGGTGGGATAGTGATTTCAGGGCACCCCGCCCCTCTCCCCCTCACAGCTGGTGTGGAAAGAACTGTGCTGGTTGCTGCACCAAGGCGAGAAGGCCAACCTCGGAGACAACATTGGGAGGGGGGTTTGCAGAGAAGTCGTGAAGCTCTGTCAGGATATGGTATATTCTGGCAGCATTGCAGCCTGTCGTCCTTCTGGGCAAAAGACTTAGATGGCTGATATTGGGAGTAAGTGTCTAGTAGCATGGGAGAGCATGGAGGCAGCTTTTGCCTCTGTGCCCTTCTCCCCTCCTTTGGATGCTGGTACTTCTTCAAGTTCAGAAACGTGTGGCAACCACATTAGATTGTGTTGTTATAAATGTTGCCATGGTCTTCATTGGAGGAATGTTTGGAGGAACTTTGCCCATGACACCTAGCTTTAATTAAAAGTACTCAACTCATTCTCTCTCTCCATTTTCAGAGATATGAATACTGTACGCTATGACCCTACCAGGCAAGAACATGCAGTGTTTGAACGAAAGCCAGAAAAAACTGAAAAAGAGAGGTAATTCTTCCCTCAACCTTGTATGGCTAGAGTTAATCTGCCATTTGCTTGGATGGTTTTCTGTTTCAACTCTCTATGACATTCTTTATCCACATATCTGTTTTATGCAATAGTGACTGTGATTAGTGTGAGGTTTCTTCTAATTATAACAGTAACAGGGAAGGGAGAAAAGGTGCTTGCCTTTCTTTAGAAAAGACAAGGGGTACACACATTCATAACTGTTTCTTGCTAGTGAATTAGGCTTCACAGAAGTGATGGGTTTCTCTTATGGAGGAGGTAAGATTGCTAAGCCATCGGATGCTGAAATTAAACATGGTGTTGTTTCTGAAGTGTAGGTACCTTATTATGCAAAAAAGCAAGTAAAATCAGTAAAGCAATGCAGTCACCCTTCAGCTTTTTACACACTGAAGTCACTATGGAAAATAGAGTGTGCAAGACTGTGCGTTCATATATCTCTGTCATAAGATCCTGATACAAATAATCAGCATAAGGTAGTGGACAACATTCAAAATTGCACTGACAGAGAGGAGTTCCAGAAAACTAATTTCCCTACCACACTTTTTCTGTGGAAGCACCCACAGATGCCTGGAAATGCTTCTCTAAGGTCTGGACAGCGAGGAATTGCCAAATTCAAAGGACTGGGTTTGGCAGGGGGACTGAAGGGGAAAGTAGGATCCCCAGAAATAGGATGGAGGTGCCTTCTGTAAGCAGAACTTCTGCTCTTAAGAGTGCCTCCTCCTGACTTTTGGGGTAGCCCCATACCATACCTCACCCCTTTCAGGAAAGCCTCCCAACCTCCTTGCAATGTTTTTGGAGGGCTGTAGGGAACATACTTGGTACCTTCTTCTTTCTTGGTACCCAAGGGAAAAGGGGGCCAGGAAAGCTAGTTTCCTGGCATGTCCTTCTGCCAACACCATGTTGGATGTTTCCCTGTAAAATAAAACCTGCAGAATGTAAGCCTATATATAACATATAAAGTATAAGAAATTCAGACTAATTTGCATTTTATTCCTACAGCAAAGCTAAAACAAAGAAGAAGAAGGAGGAAGTTCAAAAACTGCCTGAAGTGTCTGGAGAAATATTTTACAGTGTTGCTGTGGATTTGAAAGAGGTATTTGGATCTAAAAAATGTGATGGAAAAACAGCATACATACCATGGGACAAGCATGAAGATGTGAAACAAGCAAATCCAGCTGATGCAGAGGCGTTAACATTCAGTGCTGGTGGAAATGACAAAGAAGAAGAAAATAGTGGCTTTGCTTTCTCTTTTTTTGGTGCTGAAGAGGAAAGTTCACCTATGAAAGAAGGTACCAGTATATATGCTAAGGTTATAGTTTCAGTTTGTAGACAGGAGCTTTACTGAATGCTCTCATAATTTCTGAATTTGACATTTGTAGGTTGCTTTGTGCAGGGCAGCTCCAAACACTGTCACTCAAATTTTCAGTGGGAATTGATCATTAGGATTATATTATACCATTACTGAAGTATTTTTGCTAGCTTCTTGTTGCCTTTCAGGCTGAATGCAAAGGATGGTGGTGACCTATGAAGCTCTAAAATGCAAGAGTGTGGCATATCTAAGACACCATCTCTGCCCCATGTTCCATTAAGATCTTTAAAACTGCCTGGAAATGCTCTCCTTTGAGTAAACCATCTGTGAATTAAATCATGTCCACAGGATTGTTCAGAGATACATTCTCAGTCTGGCTCTCTGCTTTGAAAAAAACCTTCACTGAAGACCATGAAAGTCAAAGCCCAAACTTCTTTCAAAAGTGGTGTCAGATGTTTTTATTAGAACTGTGTGTTTTGGCCACCTGTAGCATAGAACATTAGAAAGTTATTTGTCACTCTTAAGCCTTCAAGTGGGAGACATCCAATTAAATACACTCATGGAACACAAGAGAAGCTTTGCTCATCTAGAATCCCGCTAGTGTATTATCATTTCCACTGCAACCATGATCAATCTTTGTGCCTAATGTAGGGAGACACTGTTATAACCTCAGAGTGAATTATTTCAAAAGTTTGTGTGTTGGATTTCTTTGTCCTTAAAATCTCTCATCTTTGAAAGCAAGGATGGTTTATGCCTTTTTTCCCTTTTGCAGAACCCTATGTGATTGAAACAATAAAGCCTTCAAGAGTCACATGGCAAGAAGATCCACGTTTTCAGGATAGTAGTTCAGAAGATGATCCAGATGATCCAGAAGTAGTTGAAAGCAAAGATGTTACGGAAATGTAATTACATGAATAAAGGGGTATTGATGAAGAATTCATAAGGGGAGGTTGAATAAACTCCAAATATCATGCTGTGATCTAAGGATGCATTCCCTAAGACAGGGGTGGGCAACTTGTGGTCCTCTAGATATTTTGGCAAAAGCTTGCAGCATACCTCATCGTTGGCTATGCTGGTAGGGTTGAGTGCAGTCATAAGTGTCCACTTCTGAAAGGCCACAAGTTGTCAGTGCCAATCAAGACCAAAGTTGGGGAATCTGTTCCTTCAGAAGTTGTTGGACTCTAATTATCATCAACCCTCACCAGCATGGCCAGTGATGAAGGGAGTTGTAGTCCAACATCCAGAGGACCATCAAAACAACAGTCTTGTGCACCATAAGGACCACAAAATCATTTCTGACCCAAGTCCCACACTTGCCCTAGATGAAACTCCGTATGTTCCTTTCCAATGCCTTGGAACGACTGTGGTGATTTACCCCACTGCTATATTTGCTCATGTCACATCCCAAGCCCTTTCTGAGGTTCCCAAACATTCAGAGGGCCTTAGGGGGCTGGCATGGGACTGCAGTTACGAGGAGGACAGGAAGCCCCATTATGCAGGTGGGCTTAAAAGGTTTGGATACAGCCCTAAATGTGCACTTCATAAACACTGAATACAAACTATTTTCAGTATTAAATAATATTCCTCAATCTTGAAGAACATAGGTTATTATCTAATTTCTAAGATCCTGATCTCTGATAAGTTCATCTCTCAAAACCATCCTTCAGATTCTAATTTTAAAAAATATAACACATGAAGAGCACAATCCATGCTGGCTGGGTGTCATGGGACTTCTTTCTAGCTAAACATGCATAGATTTGTATCTTAAATAATGTGTATTTAAAATTATTCAAAGTTGAACTTTTCATTGTTTAAAAATACATGTTCATTCTTTGGGTTGATTGTACGATTAATTTGTTTTGGACACTGGTAATGTCCTTGCTTGCTTTTCAGGTCTTCAGCTGTACCACACTCAAACATTAGATTTTTCTTCTTCTCCAAAGATGATATTAGATTAAAAGGTAAAAACCAGAAATGTTCTGCTAAATGTTGGATTTCATTTATAACAAATAAACATTTAATTATCAGATTTGTTCCTAGTTGTTACTATGAAAGTTGCTTAAGCACAGTAATATGATAAGTCATTTTATTATTCAAAGAAGTTTAGCTTGATTATCTTTAACTCAGAAAAGTAATGATTTACCCTGGGAATTAGTTGGGTATGAGTTACTATTTCTGTCACTCTTGCTCTGCCTGTTGGATACATGTTATGTTGTAATATTTCCCCCCTTATGTTTTAATAGATTTCTTTACTGACAACCAGTAATTTGAATAGAACAACTACAATATTGGGAATGCCATATGTCAAAGTATAGCTTAAGATTCTGACACTATTAATTTTTGTCCCTTTGAGTAATCTTTGTCCCTGCCAGTTTGTAAGTGATGATTAATCTAGCAGGCAGCTCAACAGAAGGGTGAGAATGGACCACAGGGGCACCAAATCAGTGAGCCCTCCTGTGTATTCAGCTATTAAAGCATCAAGTATTTCATCTAGGACAGGACTTGGGTTCTCTCCCTAGCAGTGATAACATCCTTCTTCTGTACTTGCAGTAGCAGCAAGATTTAACAGTTATGTTTGAAATATTTATCTCCTTTCTAGAGGGCCCAAAGCTCTTCTGCAAATCCTCCAACACTGATGAAGATGCAGAAGACTGGGAAAGCAGGCGCCAAATGTTACTTGAGGTATGTGAATGAGAGAATTATTGGTATGATTCATTGGTGTTCTAGGTAATCTTTTGGCTTAGAAGTTATTCTTAAAATTGCAACACTCCTAAACCTTTAAAACTAAGAGGGAAAAGCACATAATATTTGCCACCCTGCTCATGCAGATCATGTGAATTGCATGTAACTAAAATATACAGTTTACCTGTAATTCTTTAGTTTGTTGTACGTATTAAATTAAAAGCATTTTTTGCCTTTGGTTGTTTTTTAAAAGAAACATGACCCTTAATAAAATATGCACATTATAAAATTATACCTTGGACAGAGCAGTCCTGCCTACCAAGAGGCACAGGAAAATCTGAAGGTGGATTAACTTTTTTATTCAAAGCTCTGCTAGGTCTGTGCTAGCAAGACATCTCCCCCCCCCCCACACACACACACACTTTGGAATACAATTTTCCCTCCAATTAGTTGCAGTGCTCTGAGGTTCATGTACATTACTTCATCTGTCCTAATTCAACCAATAGGGTAACTTGAAAAATTTCAGTCTACACCTTTCAAAGAATTGCCTCTTCCTCTGATGTGGAGTTGGTTAATTCATGAGTCTGAAAACATTTGAACTAGTAACTTAAAGTGTCGAACTTCTAGTAATTACATTAAATTTGCAACATTTCCAGGATTGTCGGAAGAAACATAAAGATGCAAGAAGGAAAGTTAAAGCAAAATAATGAAAACAATGATTCTGCTCTTCAGCAGGAACGGTGGACACGCTTGCATTCAACAGTGGGAAAATGGAAGGTGTGGCAGGAAACGCACTTACAGATGATTAAAAATATAAATTGATGCTGTTTATGCAAAATGTTGTGAAATCAGAATAGGCTCTAACTGTGCAGTATCTGTATTGTACCATATGGACAATTTCCATTTCCTTCCAACCCTTGTTCATAGGTTTTTTGTTTGAGGAAGATTCTTAAGCTACAGGAAAACCTGCTATGAGTGTTGAGTGTAGTCCTTCGCTTAGCTAGTGGCAATAATAAATTAAACAATCCTGCAGAAAACTTGAAAAGGACTAAGGTTAGATTATGTATGTATTTACGTATGTTTATTATTACTCTTACAATGCTTTGAGCCTTTATGCTACACTTGGAAAGGGAAGCATTTCTGGCAAAACACATACAGGTTTCACACCCCCTTCAAGGGCAGATCAAAGAACAGATAGATATTGTAAATTAATACTTATTTCTAAGAAGTAGCTGTAGAACAGTTTGGCTGAGGAGCAATGACAACAAAAGTCAAAAACTTGGATAATGTAAGATCTTACAATAGAACAAGTGCAATTACACCGATGGAGGAAAGAGGTAATGTTTATGTTTGTATTTGATAGATTAGATGTATTTGTACAGTTATATACAATCAGTCATATTGTACTGGGGTGTTATTTCGGGATGCTTCATATTATTATTAAATTTATTTTTGTATCTTGAAAGACTTGGTCCATATTAAAACTAAACTTTTTGTTAATGCAGTCCTGCTACTGTAGAAAAAAGGCCCACACACCTCAGTTTCACTTGTTTAGCATAAATATATTTTGTTGGACTACTATACAGCAATTCAAAGCCATCAGTATGTGAGCATGTTCATTGACATCAGTGGGATGAATCACACTTTTTGGTGAGATTCAATCTTCTGGAGTAGATTAGAGTCACCCAATTTTGAGAGACTAATTTTCTCACTGACTAAATGTGCTATTTTAATAAAGCAAAATAGCTGGTTTTTTTATAAAATAAAACTGTATTTTGTATTTGTTCAAGGTGAAAAGAAACAACACTATATAAATCATCACTTAAATATCACAGTGGAAGTTTTTTATAACTAATACTCTTAGTGAATGTGTGTTTTACTATTGAGTAATGACTGATCATGCACAGGATTTTTTTTCTAACAGTTGTCACTGGCACAATTATAAATTGCAAAGGCTAAATAAGATGCATGGTATACAAGATACTGTGTTTGCAGTTAAATCAAACATCTTTTTTTTACCTGTAATACTGACAAGCATTTGGCTGGATGCTTGCAGTTCATGTAAAGGGCAACTACTTAGCCATCCATCAATCTAAATATGTGAATAAGATGACTTGGACAGAGAGAGCAGAATTCTTAAAATGGTAAGTGATTTTGGAAAGGGTAGATTTGCTAATAGTGAACATCCACAGAAAGGAAGTAAAATCCACTGGAAAGTGAGCCAGCTTGGGAACACAGTGTTGTATGCTGATTCCTCAGAAACCAAAATTGGTTACATGATCTTTAAAGGGTGACTTATATTAAGTGCAGCATTTCTCCCATGCAAATTACATGTTATTAAATGGTACAAGCACGAAAACAAAACATGCATGTGTAAGAACACAGTGAGGGGCAGGACATATTTGACATTGCAGCCTAGGCTAGGCACTGTTGTAGGCTTGTCAAGCCATAACAATTTCCAAATATAGAGATAAAGCAATGTCAGCATGAATCTGAAAAAAGTCAAAAATAGGGAAGTTAAAGTCTACTTGGTCTCACTTGGAACAAATGGTATTACTGATTTGTTTTTAATAATGTTTATTTATTTCAATGTGTTATGCTTTTATGGGAAACACTTTATGATGATGCTGGTATTACAGAAGGAACAGAAAGAGAACTTCTTTTGGTACAAGAATGTGGGGAAAAGCTCCTTGAACTGTCATCAATATAGTCTTAATTAAAAATTCATGAAGGTTTTTTTTAATATCTCCAGAACATTTGTTACAGGATCAGTGATAAATTTTGTCACCTTAGTAGCATGTGGAAAAGTGTATTTCATTTCACAATATTTGGAAATAACCTTTTCCCCAGAATTTATGGTATGGAAATGCCTACATATGCTGGCTGTTGATCTCACCATTTAGGGACGAGAGAGAAAGAAATAATTTAGTGGCTAGTTTTCCAGTTAAAATTAAGCTATGATGTATGGGGATGTTTGCAAAAGCATCAGATTAGTAGGAATTAAATAACGATTTACATAAAGAAAAACTAATACAGTTAAAATATGGTTCAAATTTTAATTTAAGGACAGGCAGTTCCTGAGTTATGAACAGGTTTGGTTCCTGAGAAAAAGGAAATTCATCTTTAAGACAAATTTGTAAGTCAGATCGTATCCAGTCAGCCCTCAACATTTGTCAGGGATAGGGGTACAGGACCCCTGCAAAAGTGAAAAAATGTGGATTGCTCACCCCCACCCAGCCTCCTCTTTGCAACAAGGAAATGCAAGAGAGATTTCCCTGCAGATCAGCAGGGCAAGAAGACATGCCTTGGAGGCCCCCTTACTCTGCTTTTGCTTCCTCTCTCTATGGTGATGACAATCTTCTGCAGTAGGTCTTCAACTCACATTTTAAAATTTATGCTTTAGGGCAGTTTGTAAGTGCAGATTGTTTGAAACTTGGATGTTTGTAACCTGGGGATTGCCTGTATACTTTGAGCTCCTTTTTGTTGCTCTGTATTTTACTCCAGTTCTTTGAGGCGTAGCCAAAAGAGCAGGAACAGTTCTGCAAGACTGTTCCTTAGCTGCAGCCCAGGCTGCCCAGGGACTCTCTTCCCTGGGCAGGTCATTGTTTTTATTTTTGTTTGTTTGTTTAATATCTCCCTCGAGGGAGGCAGGGATACACTTGCCCCAAGTGCAAGCTGGGGTCCCTCCTAGAAGAGGAGGTGAGGTGTCTGAGGGCCAAGAGGGCTCTTCAGCCCCAACCCCCGGGAGCAGCCCCCTTCCAGACAGAAGGTTAAGGGAGGGGCTGAGGAAGAAACAGCCAAGGAGACATGTCACCCACTGGAGGAGGAGGCTGACACAGCTGCCTTTGTCTCCTGGCACCAACCTGGAGCTAGGAAACAGGTTTTTTCCACTTGGGGAGGCTGGGGATAATGAAGAGTTGGGGGGCCAACTTGTCTGGGATCTCTGGCCTGGGACCAGTTGTGGCTAGGGGCCACTGCAGGAGAGGCAAGGCCAAGGCACAGCCATCTACTGCCACCAGGAAGAGGTGGTTGATTGTCACTGGGGACTCCCTGCTAAGGGGCACTGAGGCCACAGTGTGCTGCCCTGATCTTGAGGTGAGGGAGGTCTGTTGCCTGCTGGGTGCACGCAACCAACATGTGACAGAGTAGAGTGTCTTCTTTCCCCTGGGGGTCACCAGCCACTTCTGGTGATCCACCAGGGGATGAATGACATGGCCAGGCAGGGAGTGGGCAGGATCGCTAGGGACCTTGAAGCTCTGGGCAAGAAACTCAGGACCTAAAGGGCCGACTGGCCTTTTCCTCCATCTTGCCAGTCCAGGAATTCAGGTTATCCAGGGAAAGAAGGGTTGACAAGGTGAACAATTGGCTCAGGGTGTGGTGCCAGAAGTAATGCTTCAGGTTTCTCAACCACAGCACCCAGTTTCTTGCCAATGGACTTCTGGTGAGGGATGGGATGCACCTCATGAGGATGAGGAAAAGATCCTTTGGAAAAGTTCTAGCAAGCTTTGTCGAGAAAACTTTAAACTGAGCTGGGGTGGAGAGTGGATTCAGGTCCCCAAGAAACTTGGACAAGTGAGGGGGGAGGACCAGGGTTTTGTAACCAGGATGTTAAAGGTACTGCAGGGGCTGGCAGGACTCCTATGAAGAGGGGGTTGTCATCAGGGAAGATGGGAGGAAGGAGCAGGCTAGGGGACCCAAAGAAAGGGATATGTGGGGAGGAGCTGAAATGCATGTATATCAATGCTAGGAGCATGGGTAATAAGCAGGAAGAGCTTGAGGCTTTCCTGGAAATAGGAGGGTATGACCTGGTGGGGATCATGGAAACTTGGTGAGATGAATGGCAAGATTGGAATGTAAACATGGAGGGGTATGTCCTGTTTAGAAAGGGCAGGAAGGGAAAGGGGAGCGGGCATAGCGTTATATGTCAGGGAAGGGATAGGATGCAATGAGATAGAAGGTGACAAGATAGTGAAGGGAAGTTGGTGACTATGTAACACAGCATCCATAAAAACAGGTCCTGCCAGATGAGCCCTGTGGAATTCTATGACAAGGTTTTGAGGTGGCTAGATGGAGGGGACACAGTCAATGTGGTTTACCTGGGTTTCATTAAGGCCTTTGACAAAGTGCCACATGGTATCCTGGTTGAGAAATTGAGGAATTTTGGGATAGACCAATGCACTGTCCAATGGATTAGGGCATGGTCGACAGACCGAAAGCAGACAGTAACTATTAGTGGGGGTTCATCAGGATAGCGGCCAGTGACAAGCGGGGTGCCCCAGGGCTCTGCCCTGGGACCAATCCTGTTCAATCTTTTCATGAATGACTTGGAAGAGGGGGTGACCAGTCTGCTGATCAGATTTGCAGATGATACTAAAATGGAGGCAGTGGCCACAACTGAGGAGCAGGTACTCCAGATCCAGAATGATCTGAATAGACTATGGAGGTGGGCAGGGGTCAACAGGATGGTGTTCAATGCAGATAAGTGCAAGGTCTTGCACTTGAAGCATAGGAATGGGTGTCATAAGTACAGGTTAGGGGACAAGTGGCTTGACAGCGGCACTTGTGAAAGGGATCTCGGGGGACTGGTTGACTGCAGGCTAAATATGAGTCAGCAGCAGTAGTTAAGAGGGCAAATGCCATGTCTGGTTGCATAGCCTGAAGCGTGGCTTCTAGATCAAGGTATCACTGTCACTCTATAGGACTGGTGTGCCTACAACTGGAGTATTGTATTACAGGAAGGATATAGCCAGGTTGGAATCAGTGCAGCGTAGGGCCACAGGGATGGTGGCCGGATTGCAGGGAAAGCTATATGAGGCAAGATGGAGGGAGCTGGGTCTTTTCATGCTAGAAAAGATGAGACTTCAAGGGGATCTGTTAGCGACATATAGGTACATGAGAGATCGCCACACAGAGGTGGGTAGAGACCTGTTTTCCCCTGCAGAGGAGGCCAGATATGTTCCAATGGAGCAAAGCTCAGGGAACCAAGGTTCAATTTGGATGCCAGGAAGTACTTCCTGACAGTTAGGACCCCGAGGGTGTGGAATGGGCTTGCACAGGAGGTGGTTGGTTGAAGCCCCATCGGTGAGGGTGTTCAAGGATAGGCTGGGCATGCACACGGTTGGCATGTTGTGAGCAGAGCCGGCTGGAGCTGGGGGTCTGACTAACTGACCCAGGAAGACCCTTCTGACTCACACAGTTTCTATGTTTCTAAGAGGAAGTCCACAAGGAAAGCAGGAACTGAAACGTTCTTCCTTCTCATGGGACAGTGCCCCTAGAGGTAGAAACAGACTTTCTTTTTCTTTGGAGAATAGTTTTCTCAGTTTACACCACAGGGATTGCTTGTCCTCAGTGCACACGAACTGTAATAATCTGATATTGTACATAGCCTTACATCGGGTCTCAAACTCGCGGCCCAATTGCCGGGCCGGGCAGGGCAGGGGGGAGGGGCCCTGCGGCCTTCAAAGCGCCGGCCTCCGGGAGCCACGCGGGATGAGCGGCCCACCACCGCCGCTTGATGCGGCCCAGCCTCACCCAGACTCTACTTCCAGCGGCCCCCAGGGAAGTTGAGTTTGAGACCCCTGCCTTACCTGAACATCTAATATCTAGATTTTAGAGAACATTTTGAAGAAAATGTATGTGCACTTGTGTGAAACATTCATCACTGGAAAAAGTATTCCATAATTCATTGTTTTAATTTTGCAGGAAAAATATTTTTAAAAGAAAAATCTGTCTTTTCTGGATTTTTCCTGAAGGTGTTTATTATATTCT